TAAATAATAACGTTATAAAAATAGTTAAAAAGTAAACAATTTGTCAATTCAATTGTATAAATTGTATAAAAAAATATGTATCTATAAAATTGTTTAAAAATAATTGTAATATCAACCTTGGTAGTTTTTGCAAATACTTGACAAATATTTCATTATATTTGTATGAATTAAATATTCCTTGTATTCGTCTATTGTGTGATCTAAACGTTGTTTGTCGTTTAAGGCGGAGGTACACGGTGATCGGCCACCAAAATCCTATAATCTTTTTGGAGCCTCACTAATAATTACGTATATGCAAAACACCAAAATGTTGTAACTAAGTCAAATACCTAAATAACCTTATGGAAATCTGGCAACATTGCACTAAAATCTTGGGTAAAACTGTAAAAGACGTACTGAATTGTGTGTCTTAAAATGTGCTCGATTCCCTAAGCTGATAAGGACCGCACAGAATCGTGCTCTACCCATTGCTGCTCGGGATTTTTTGGGTTACATAATAATTACGGCCCAAGTCTTTTAGCATGCGTACAAATAATTACAGTTCAGGATGTTTTTGGATACATATTATGTAGATACTAATTAAAAGTATAAAATATAAAAAAAAATGTATGTTATGGACTTTGTGAATGTTTGTAATATCATTACATCAGGTAGGTTAAAGATTACGTTTTATTTTTATTTAAATGTTGGTCATATTTTTTTGAAATTATGCCGTATTTTATTTTTATTTTTTGATCATGTTATTCTGAGGCATATTGTGGCACTGGTAAAAACAAATTTGAAATTTTTTATATGAATTAAAACTTGTTGATTTGGGTTTCTTCCTATTGTGTCATAATAGTTTTCATGTGTATTTTATTGTTTAATATAATTGTTCCGTGATTATTTATAAGTGAGCACTTAGTTTTATATTGGTATCTTATTGTATATTTTTCAAAACATCAATGAACACAAAACGTGTTTGGACATATTATTAAATTTGTGTTTATTAATTAAGCCACAACTTGGATGTATCCCAAAAGAAAACCCGGTGTAACAGAGCCGTAAATTGGTCTTTGTAATTAGCTTTAAAAAGCAACTAATGTGTTTACAAAAATAATATGGGCTATGGGTACCTAATATCTATTATAAAATTCAAGTACGAAACATCTGTTGTTTTATGATTTCCAAACATTATGTTATGAAGTGCCTTAACCCAGTTGTTTATTTAATAAAATATAATATGCTGTAAAATATTGTATTATATAAAATAGATTTTGGGTAGTCCATCATAATCCATTCATGATGATGCCAGGATACCGTCCAGCTAAGAAACACTATGCTTACTAACAAGTAACAGATCATTTAAAGTACACATAAAACCAGCAATTTAAGAACATTATTTAAGCAGGGCTCAGTATTAGCTCCTCTACTATTTAATGTTTATATATAGTCAACCTCCCGACGACTTACTCCATTAAATTCTCATATGCTTATGACCTAGCCATCGCAATCCAGCACAAAGACCTCTGTGAAACAGAAAGAATACTCTCAAACGATCTCATCTTTATTGGTGATTGCTTTCATACCTGGAGACTAAGACCTAACACCAGCAAAACAGAAGCGTCCTGTTTCCGCCTCAACAATCCGGCTAGGGGCCCCCATACTACAAAATTTATTTATTATAATTAAATAAAATAAATCATAATTATGAAAAATGTAATACATTATATATAAGAGATTCTATAATTGTAATTTTAAATAAATATGGATATATGATATAATAATACTTTATACAATTTACACAATGACCACTTTTACTTATTTACTATTATTATAATACTTAGCTCGCGCCTCAAGTCACAACCGCATTTAAATATTTATATATATTTAAAAAAAAGACGGGGGCCCAGGCAGCGATTGCTACCAAGCTGCCCGCCGACACTGATTCTACCCCGAATATCTCGCATAACACTGGATCGCACACTCTCCTTCAAAAATCACCCCGAAAATACCGCTCCAGAAAAGACATAAGTCACAACACAAAAATTCTTGATGTGCTTCGGCCCACACTTTGCGATGTTCGGCCCTTGGTCTGGTATACCCAGTAGCTGAATGCTGCACTGCTTAAGAATTGCGCCCTGTATAAAAAGGTATAAAAAGGTATATAATATCAATTGCGTTCCGGGTTTTTCTTGAGCAGTTGAGCACGTCTGAATTGATCCCCATTACCTGTGATATCAGTGTAAAAGATTATCGTTTCTCTATCCTGGCTAAGTGATCAACTGTTTCACAGAAGATTTAATATCTATTAAACCGTTAGATGTAACAAATTGATATATTCACTGATTATATACTACAAACATATATACTACCGGAATCTACTTTCTCGACTTCATTATGGGTAGAATACTCGGCTACTGCTATAAGAACTACAAATAGTTGTGAAGATTTTCATTCTAAGCTAAACGCGATGTTTTATAATGCAAAAAAAAAAATAAAAAAATAAAAAAACAAAAAACCAATAACGATAATATTTTTTAAACAGTTACAATTTTATGACGAAATACAAAAACAAAAATAATATAATAAGCAAAAACAATATTTTTAACCTACCTGTAGTAGTAACTATTTCTACAGACTGTCCTAGGTTTGTAGAAAAATAGGAAGGGAAATATTGTTTATAGTTTTTAATGTTTTTAAAATATACGAAACTCAATTGTTAACAGTTAAAACAATTCGGGACGTAATTAATATGAACCACAAAAAAAAACCCATGAAGCAATTTGGAAGGAATTTTTGCGCGCGGGACGCAATTTTATATGCAGCCGAATACTGAACATCCGCGTGGTTAAATAGCACTCATGTGATAAAAGTAGACACCCAACTTAACACTGCCGCGAGACTAATATCTGGCAAAACAAAATCTACACCCACTCATTGGCTCCCAACATTAACAACGATTGCCCCCCTCCGCTTCACAGACTTCGCCTAACCTAACCTAATCCTGATTAAAGAGTTCCCAGAAATAAACATTAACCATGAACTGTCCATTAATAATTTTATTGAAGACGAGACCAGAACACGATTGAGGTCTTTTCATCAAAAACAGCTATGGACTTATTATGGACTTAAGGGCAGCTGCGGTAGAGAGCGAAGAGTTCCTATGCAACATAATATCATCAGGTTGTTTGCCCACAGGATTTGACCGATAACGTGATTTATAGTGTAGGTACACTTAACAGAATAAGAACCTTAGGTCATGGCAGATGTGCAGATTCCTCGTACACACGAGGCGTGAGAAACTCGGCAGAATGTGAATGTAGAGCGGAAAAGCCGAACATCCACCACATAGCTTTTATGTGCCCTATCTGCGCTTATCAAGAACCTATCGACTGTCTCACGACCCCTTCTATATATTTATTCAATGGCTGAAAAAACTAGAACTTAAACTGCGTAATACCGAACATATTGACTTGTTTCCCTATTAGTACTACCCACTATTATTCATATACTTCTAAAATATTCTATTTCGTTTTATTTATATTCTTATTTATCTGTTATACACTAACTCAATTTACGGTATGTTATCATATTATAATATTGGTGTAATGCATGCAACCAACCACGAACCGTAAGCTAAATAAAATAAATATTCATAATGATTAAAGCGTCGGTTACCAATTGTTCAAGTTTAATAACTAATGACTTTAAGTATCATAACAAAAATACCGCATACTTATTACTTAGGCATTGATTAAGTATTTAACTAAGTATGTTTAATCATTGGCTTGGGTTTATTGTTTATACATTTATATAATATTATAACGTCTCTTGTTGTTTAATTATTTGATTTTAAAAGTGAACTATTCGTGCTAAACAATATTAATACCACCAAGGTTGAACTGCCAGATGTAAAAATTGTACAATTAGTGCATTATAAAGATTTTACTTCTCGCTTTGACAAATTATTTAATACACGTAAGTACAAATACCTGCTACCTACCTAGTTACCTTTTACGGTCCACATTGTTTTGCCCACATAAGAATTGCAAGTACAATGCATACAACTCATTTTGAGAGAACTATTATCGACATATTGAAGTTGCTATATCCGCATTTTAGAAGGTTAGTGTAGATATAATTTTTCTGACAAAAAGAGGGACACATTCAAAAAGTTTTTAATGATTACCGCAATAACTAATTGCATAGAAAACGGTACACGGAAAACTGGTACGACCCTCAATAGTCAAGGTTTACCAAACTTTTATGAAAAAAAAGAATGAAATATGAACGATTATTTTTAATTTTATTTTACAGACAATTGATGGAAACCACGAGAGACTTTGTGACTCTGTGTCCTTTTCTACACTTATAGAATGTACATAGACGTAACTAGAGCCATTAAATTGAGTGGGCTCGAGCCCTTAGTTAAAATGTTTAACAGAGGAGAGGGGTTGTAGGACTATAACCTTGTCCCTTACCCTTAATAAATAAGAAAATATTATAATTTATAATACAACAATTATGAATACCAACATTTTCAATAAAGAAATACAACTTTAAATATCCACAAGCAAAGTACATTTATTACAAAATAGTATAAGAGTGTTTTCAAATAACTTCTATTTTTTTCAACAAATTCTTTGTGTGCATTTGATATGTGACATACAATACTACCAGTTTTTTTGCTAGCAATATATCCATCCATTTTGGAAATATTAATCAAATGTGATTTTGTAGCAGCATGTGCCTTAAGCTTAGAGCATTTAGAATTCTTACTTCCTAACTGTCAATAAATAAAATAGGTACTTATTAATTTTCATCAAGAACAGTATTCATTTAATATTATAATAATGCATAATTTATTACTCTTTTCCAATCAGTATATCCATTTTTAGTAAAAACATGATCTTTAGAATCACATCCAAATACTCTACAGCAATAACAAAAAACCGCATTTTTTTCGATACTATACTCCAGCCAGTTATACTCGTTGTAGTACTTGGAGTTGAATGATCTTTTTTATTTTCCAAATACTGACTTAGGATACGCCTAAAAAGTGGTGAAAATAATTGATAAATAACTAGTAAATTTTATTTATTGCACATAGGTATTGGTTATAAGTCTTTTCAACAGTTCAAAACTATAAATAAGAACATAAAATTTAATAAGAAATGACTTTAACATGTATACCTAGATAAGAATCATTACAAGAATTTTATTTAGACTTACTGACAAAATAGGTTGTGCGGGGCCTGTGTTCAAGTCACCTAAATCTTTTACCAAATTTGGTTCTAAATGTCCTAAGTCTTGAATTGAGCTTTCAATTATTTGAGCATGATTATTAGTATCATTTATATCAGGATCATCTGGATCTGAATCAGTAGCTTGAGGAAAAACTGACTTAATTTGCATCTAGTACAAGATTTGAATAAGATAAGTTAATAATATACCTACAGGCTACACTTAATATTTTTCAATTGTAAATGAAATTACCATTTGCGAATTCGATTCCAACTCTTTTTCTGGTTCTTGAGGGTGATTAATACCTATTTTACCAACAATGAGATTGCATTTTTCTTTAGCAGATTGTTTTTTATTATTAAATATACTAAACATAATGACCGTGAAATAAATTGAATATTGGTTTCTTAAAGTAAACTACGAATTTATTACAGAAATTACAAAAACAATAAAACACATCAATACTCCTCAATCAATTACCAAATTAAATGCGATGGTGATCGGTAATACACTTTAATTAGGGCAAATGAAAAAAGAAAACATTGGTTACAAAAATCATCAGGATAACCTCATATTCTTCAGAACAAGGAAAATACTGCAATATTCTATTTATAAAATAATTTTACTTAAATCACTGATAAAAGATACACCTACTACAACCTGTCCCACAACCTGTAGCCGTAACTTGTTCCATACCATTATCACAATATTCGATATTTATTATCACTTATTTTTTGTGTCACACAATATGATTGTGTTCTATTGTGATATAAGTAAAGGTAGGTAAACAAAAATGTATTATTTCAATTACTTGATTGTTTTCAATTCATATTTCATTTAGGTGGGCTCGAGAGGCTGAAGGGTGGGCTAAGCCCACCCAAGCCCCCCCCTATTTACGTCTATGGGAATGTACTAGAAATCACTTCAAATAATCACAACAGAACAAACAATTTTTGTGAAGGGTGGAATATCTATTACAATAAACTTGTTAGAACAAATAATCTATCATTTTGGTTGGTAATTAGGTGTATCTCACAAGATGAAGCGACTACGCGGATTGAAAGAACCCGTTTTGAATCAAATATACTTACACAATATTTTGTTTTTAATGTATTATTTAAATTTAACTTGTTGACGATGGTGATTTATTAAAACTATATTAAACATTGTAAATATTTTAGGCCCCCTGAAAATTAAATTTTGAAGAGTACCAGTATTTCAAGTTTTTTATTTCTTTTGTTATAAATTCTATGGATTGTACCGATATTCTGACAATCATAGAAAACTATAAAATGCTTACTTCTTAATTGGTACTCCAATTGACTAATTAATTTTATTTTTATATAAAATTAATATATTATAGGAATAGTAAAATAAAATTGTAATGCTACTTAGTAGGTAGTTATATTATAATTAAAATAATTTATAACTGAATGACGATATTCGTCACTACGCTTCAATGGTGTAAATTTTAATACTAAAACCTTAAGTAGTGAAAAATGTATTTATATAAATAATAAAATATTGAATTTTCGTGAATGCGGGCGAAAAGTGGAACCACTTGAAAAGGAGGATGCAGATTTTCAAAACTTGATGATTACTACTAATTTGGACGTCTTGTCACTCTATGAAAAGTTAAGTCATCATGGATAGTTATCCAATTAAATCTGCACTTTTGTAGTTTATACGTCACAACTTACAATTCAAAAGCATTTTCTTTAAAAACAAAAACAATTTTTTACTGTCTTAAATATTTATAGTGTAATAAAAACCTGTAGTCCGTCTATGATACTCTGTAGTTTAGATGTATAATCCGTCTGATTTGAACAAATGATTTTAATTTGGCTGGTTGGTTAGGTTATGCAAATTGGTACAATTTAAAGACAAAATTAATGAATACTATAGGTTTTCGACAAAAGCTAATAACTCACTAACTTGTTTATGAAGCTTACATTTGAAGTTGATTATATTGATAACACTTACGACAGCTGACAGGTACTTGAGGGAGAAACTGTAGTAGGGCCTTAAAAACATATATTTTATACAGTAAACGGCTGTAAAATACCTAGTGAATTAGCTTATCGTATGATACTTATTAGTGTAAAAAGATAATAAATAAACGATAATAATTATGTTATAATTTGTATTACCTTCCATTGTGAAAATTAACAATGGGTAAAATTGGAATAAAATGAAACCGAAAATTGAAGAAAGTTATTATTTGTTCCGTCCCTTACTACATTTACTTTAATCATATTATTATAATATTATGTACACTTATTACGTACCTATTATAAATTATTATAATAAAGTTGATATTTATTGATTTAAAAAATATTTTTTTGTGGTCGACAAAACGTAATTGAATAGTGTTTAATATTTAAGCGAAAAGAAGTTGATGGAATGAGACATTTACGTACAAATAAATGTTGGTAGGCACTCAAGTGTAAATATTGTTACAACGAACTATACAATATATTTTACTCTGAAGGATTTATGATAAATTTAGTCTTATTAATGTTTCTTGAAAATATTTGTATTGACTTCAATCAAACAAAAAATATATATGTAATTAACTAAAGGAAATCTAGGTAGCGTACTACTTGATATTTTCTCGCCTGCGTGGAAAACAATTAATGATTATAAATATTTTTTTCACGTTCTTGCAGTCGTACATATTTATTATTCTTATAGCATATTCTCAGTTTAAGTGATGAGACAGCCTAGGTCTTAGGTACAGTAACACGAAAAATAAAAAACTGCAAAATTTGAACACTGGATTTGGCACTATTACGATGCTCCATCGTGGCTGCCGAAGGTTAAGTTACATATAAATATGCTTGGCTTTGACCGGCCTAGAGTAAACCGGTTTTTGCCGAATTCAGACAAATTCAAATTATTTTATTTTATAATTAATTGTTTTTGCTCCGTGTTTGGTAGCATTCCTTTAATTGGAGACGTTCTACAATAGTTGTTACCTACATACGTTTTTTAGAAGTGTTGCATTGAGGTTTTTATCCAATTCTTTTATTATAAAATACTTAAGATAGATTTTTGTGCATTTTTTGGACAAACTATATTTTAAATCAATTAAAAAATCTGTCTTTTAATTTGACAACTGGGAAAATGTCGGTGACGTCAGTCCACTTTAGCACTTCTCTGTATAAAGCAAATTAAGATGATAAAAGATAAAAAAAATTATCAAAGATGAAATATGAATTAGGATATTGTATGTATTGTAGGTATATTAATATACTGAATTATGTAGGTACCTAGTATAATATATTATAATATATTGGCAATATAGGTACTATAATAATATTAATATGTATAGTTAGCCGGTCAATGAAAGTATATATAATTACATAATTATTATTTAAACCAGTGCTTGAATTGAGGGGGGACAGTCTCTTATTTTTAAAAAAAAACTATCTACCATACCGCTTCTACTTATATCGTAATCAATAAGACATTTAAATATTAATAAGTGCGCGCATTTTTTATATCTTTGTACCCCCCTTCTAATTTTTTTCCCACTCAAGCACTATTATAACCTGCAGAAAACCGTTAGTCGGAAATAAACAATAATTTTATGTGTTAATATTATGGTTTTCGGTACGTAATGATAATAATTATAACAACAATAATAATTTATAGTGTGGGAATAAATTGAAAAGTTTTTGGAGTATTCGTGACACTCACTTGTGGAAGGGGCTAATATATGGCTGCGGACGATAAATTTGAAACTGCCCCCACCATCGAAAACATAGACCTAACGTGGTCTAGGATCCGCGTCTGCGAATCGCTCCTGAAAAAATTATTACGATCACACAGACGAATAATGCCTCGAGTCTATCCAGTTATATAGTTTAGCGTTTCCGTCCGAGTACGTCTGCTGCCCGCGTTAGCGTTGCACGTGCGATGGTGCCATGTCCGTCGGCCGGTGCGATTGTCGCGGGTATTTTGACATTTTACTCATTGATTGTTCGAGGATCGGCAGCCGATGTTTTGAGTACAGTGAGTGTTCATATACAATATAATTATCTCAAAGGAAAACACTATTTTTTTAAATTTAATTCAAAATCATTACAAAATAATATTTTTGAAAAAAAAATTATACTTTTTATCGTTATTGTTTTTTATTTTTTACCGTCTTCAAATGACAGCATAGGTATATTTTGAATTCTTCATTACAAAGATAAATGTTTTCTGAGAATTATTTCAATACTTACAATTTAAAACTCGAATTTCAAACGAGTAGGTAGAATTAATTATAATTTATAAGTAAACATTTAAAACTTAGATGAGTAGAAAGAGCCAAAATTTTTCGAGCACACTTCTCACCTCCATATAAACATTAGTTACTTACAAGTTATGAGCTATATAACTAATAATAAAAACTCTTTTTAAATTCGATTTTTATACATTGAAATTTTCAGAAAAATATTCGAAATACTTATGAAATGAAAGATGTATGCGGTCAATGTCATTCATAAAGTAAAAAATTAAAAAACTTCAATAATAAAAACAGTAATAAATTTTTTTTTTATATGCATGCTTTACTATATAAAAAAAAATGTTTCCATTAATACTTATAAATGAGTGTCAACTTTTAATACAATCATTATGTTTATTCATGATATAATACCTATGCATATTATATTATATTATATAAATATAGGTATTATAAATATATCTATCAAGAAAAGTTGAAACACAAAGATACATTTATTTTGTATATATACGCTCAATATCACAGTTGGCTAAATACCTAAGTATGACATTAATACCATTGACTATAAATATAAATACTACTATATTATATGATCAATAATGATCATATAATATTATAACTTCTGTTCACCGGTCACCAGTGAATATAAAAATATGTTATTGTGGCGACGCAATCTCCCAACTCTGAACATTTTATGCCATGATTTAACAATACTATTAACACGACTGAATACTTAGGTATCAAGAATATATTATGTAGTTAAATGTTTCTTATAATATAAAATCACTAAAAAGAGCGAACACCGAGGCCCTGTATAGTGATGTCATACTTTCTACAGACTCCTGCACGCGTTAGCACTGCGCCACTGCTCCAAAAGATTAAAATAAGAGATATGTTCTAATCAAAATAATAATACTTATAATAAGAATATAATATTAAGACCATTATCATATCATCATCAAACAAAAATAAGATATGGATCACCTAAATTTAAAAATTAATTCTTATAACTTACGACCATAAAATTTATTTGCATTTTACATTTCATAATTATTAATTACCATACAATATTTACTACCTGTGTGGTTAAGCATTTTGAATTTTAGTGCAAACGATTAATTACTTATCGCCGGTTAAATAGTGTAATAATATAGAGTCTAATAATGTATTTACGTAATTATGTATTAGTTATTATGTGCATAATCACTAATGAAGTATTTAATTTTAATATTCAAAATTATAAAGAGAACATTTTTCAATCGATTAAACATTTTATACTTTATTTGTTAAATTTTTTTAAAACGCGGTTAGTGGTTAGTGGTTACTGGTTACTTTACCCATGATGAATAATTTAAGTCAGTGCATACTATAGTTACCTCCCTAAATATAGGAATTTCCTCCCGCCTTTGCAGCAGTAGAATAAAATGTTAATATACAGTAGTCAGTAGTCACTTCCGATGACCGGGCAGTTTATAATTATATATTAGTTGCTTTCCAAAAATGTTCTCACTTGTTGCCTCCCATGTAGAATTAAGTAATGGTTCAAAAATTTCACTAAAATATACCATGTCAATAAAATCCGTGTTTTTTTCACCCAAAATTAAAAATAGATAAATCTGATTCAATATTGAAGTTGTATCAGGGGCGTAACCAAGGGGGTGTTGGGTAGGCAGGCTACTGACTGAAAATATAAATCTGTATAACCTTACAGGAACCAAAACTTAAGATAAAACTTCGGCATTAATATGCTACATTTATGTGAAACCCTAGTTAAACCAACTCTGTGTAAACAAATTATCAGCCCCCTCCCCCATAAGAAAAATTCTGCCTACGCCATTGCATACTATAACAGTGCATTATTAAATTATTTAAAATGTAGTTACTAATACAGGAATCTATAAATAATAATATCGTAAGTAATTTTTTTATAGGGTCAACTCATTGAAAACCATGGTCATCAATCGTATAGCAAGCATTCGGTAATAACTGAAGATGGATATATAATTAACTTATTTCACATCAAAGGCCAAGGCGGGCCACCATTTTTACTTCTCCATGCACTTATGGGAGCATCCGACCAATGGTTACTAAGAGACAGAGATCATGATTTACGTAGGTAACACTAGAAGTAGTCTAGTAATACTGTGTTTCTTAAAAAAAACTTAAAATAATTCCGTTTTGGTTTTCGTAGCCTCAATTTTGGTTAACAGTGGTTACGACGTCTGGATGGGCGATTTTAGAGGGAACTTATATTCTAAGAAACACACCCACCTCAATGTATCCGATCCGGAATATTGGAAATTCAGGTAAATTAAAAAAATATAGTATAAATATACATAGAATTAGCATTTACTAACGAAAACATGTTCTTAAGAGGATTCCACCCTCACGTGTGTTGTCTCCGTCTTGCAAATGTACAACATCGCAAAAATTGTTTTGTGCTGTACAACTTTATACCCTCTATATTTATAGTAGAATTACTAAAATTTCACAACGTATAGGGAAGAACTTTATCTGTGTCTTAGCGTTTTTATTTTATTGTTGGCAGTAACCAATAATTTTAAATGAAAAAAATAGAACGAAAAAACCCAATGTTCTCAAACTAATAACTATAATTGTATTTATGCTATCCAAATAATAAAAACGATACGGCACATATAAAGTTCTCCCCTACGCGTTAGGGAATTTTGGTAATTCTAGTACGAATACAGAGGGAGTAAAGTTAGTTTTTGGTATGTTGCTCGTTAGTAAGACTCAGCTAGACGACACATGCGGATATAACGACCTGTTAACGGAAGTTCAATAACTTCCATTCGAATCGTATCCCCACACTTACCTATATTTTACTGCGTGGACTGCAATACGTGCGATTGATATTATTGTGTTGTTTGCAAATTTAAAATTGTCGATTTGAAATAATGTTAAAACAATCATTATTAATCATAATATAGTCGGTCGTATTATTGTATCCGTATTCCTTGTTCGTACAGATACATATTATATACCTCGGGACTCAAGTTTGTCGGCTAAAAAGCTCAAACAAGTTGATCGGTTCTTATTGTTTTATGCTCTCCGGTCGACGACGATTGTACTAACTAAACTGCAGTTATTTCAGCTGTATTCATATTATAACTCTGTGCCAATAATAACATAGCTAATGTCTGAGTTATACAGTTAGTATATAACAACTATATACGTAGGTATGTATATAAACCCGTCAACCAAGGCATGTCCCTTTTTTTTTTTTTTTTTGCATAAAACCGGTTCTCAGATTTATGCATAGCCATATACACCTACCGTTATACACGGTTATAAGTATCTTCGGAATGTTTGCTGGGCAACGGCCATCGACCATATATACCGGCTATACCGCGGTTATAAATAGTGACCGTACTGCGGCCCTAAACGCTTATGATTTTCCGACTGCAAGTCTACTACACTATGGTACGCACTACGTCATTATTGTATAGTTAATAAGTGGTATTGGTTTTTTGCTTTGTATGGTTATAGGTATGCATATACCGCAATGCTGCTCGTGTCTGGTTTTTGTGCATAATACAATATTTAGCCGACAGCCGCGGTATGAACAATGATTGACGATGACGATTATACCACATAATTATTCTGCGATTATACCGTCAAAGTGCGGATGGTTACACAACATATAATCATAAGGATATGTAATACGTATCATTAGTGACCGCGGATTAAGGACCCTAGCTGGAGTAGCGTCTGGTTCGATAATTGAGTTTCTCTGTTCCTATCGCAGTCTTTTCCGTTCCTGAAATGATGCTAAAAATCTAATAACGCGCATAAATTAATAACGAGAATTTTAATTAAATATTGTACGTATAGTCAATTTATCATCAGGTGGCCGTTGTACCTACCTACATTATAAACTATGTAAGGTTTAATAGAAATGAGTAATGGTTGAAAAATGTAATTAAATGCCATTAAATATATGCAATATGTATAATTAGTTACGGTAGTACAGGTATTATAATTAGGTACCTAAAGTTAATTCTATTTGATCATTTACTCGTTTTTTGTTATATACTTACACTATATAATATACTGTACACAGCTGACAGTAGACATACAGTTTTGCTATAATGGTTGCTATTTTTTGATTATGCGATTTATGAATATCATATTTTGACTGTTTTAAAATCGTGTTTTATTTTTTCGGATGCTATACTTTCAAATTCGATGTCAACAAACTCTCAATGACTTAAATTATTCTATAGCTGCACATAATCGCCCATCGCCGTGCCCACACGACTCTTATATTTATTGATCGAAGATCATATAGATCATTATAGAGTATAGACCTTCACCGGGATCTGTGGACCCAAGACCTAACGCACTCCAAAACCGCAACCTTCAACTCGAGTTCGATGTTATAAAATTGTAGATTTCTTATAAATGCACAAATTTGAAATCATATTCAATATTTCGAATCTCAAGGAGGATATAAATCAATTCGACTTATGTATTTTTAGAATTACACAGAATATACCTCGGACATGACGTATAGAAATATATGATTATTATTGAACACGTTTGAGTTATTATTGTTTTCGTTTCATCGGGACTCCGCTGTACCTACATACTATTATAATAATATATATATTTTTTTTTTACAGCATTGACGAATGGGCGTATTATGATGTGCCGGCCATGATGGATTACGTGTGCAACAATACCGGGTACGATAAAATGTACGTAGTGACGTACTCTTTGAGCAGTGCCATTTTGCTGGCCACCGCGTCCGAAAGACCCGAGTACAACGACAAGATCATCGTCAGCTATCATCTGGCCCCGTTCTTGGCGTTCACCAACATCAAATCACTTCTGCTACGGATAAGCATACAATTCGGAGAATTTTACTTGGTTAGTCATTTTAGCTGGTGACCAGCGTACAGTGCCGCTGTAGTGGTGATCCTTTAGATAGACACCCAGCTATTTTACTGCGGGGACGTTGACATGTATATATAGCGTCTTTTGGATGATTGATTTTTACGATTTTACCACATTCTGCCCCATTAAGAATTTGCCCTAAGGTACTCTAGCGGTTCTAACCATGGAAATTGACTCACTTTTTCAGCTGAGTTATCGTTTAATAAGATCTTCAATATAATAATATAACTTATAAGTGAATAGGTACACAACAAGTGCTATTTAATAAACAATTATTAAGAGTAAATTGTATTTTGTATGAAAAATAATGACGAGTTGAAATTTGTTCAGGTATACTCGTAATATTTGTAAGAATATGTTTGGAGTATATTATATCATCCAGGAAAAAATAAAATTCTGAAAGATCAATGGTCGAAAGATATATTTCTTATAATTTGCGGCAGTTTACAATTCAAACGTTTTAACACTGGAATTACAATTTTGATGTTACGAATAAAATACCCACCTAATATTAAATATATGCCAATTACTTAAATTTTATTTGATCGACGAATGAAAGTTAGATACGCAGATAGATAATAATATTAAACTGAAGTTTTAAAAGTTTTTTTTTTAATTATTAAAAAAGCATAATTACAATGTTGAATGTATACATTAATGTTTGTACGATAACAATTTTTCTATAACAGTATAAAATACTAGGAAATTACAGAGTAGGAAGGTACTCTGTAGTAGGTAAAGCACCCGAATGATGTTTTAAACATTTGAATAATAAAGTAATAATATCAGTACACGCCATTGTTGCAGGCAATATCACGGGCCATCAAGAATCACCAACTGTTTTCAAGGAATCATTGGTCAGTGAACTCTATATCGCTGTTTTGTAATAAAAAATCAATTTTCTTGAAGGCGTGTGTGACCTTGTTGTCTGAATTTTTCGGATTAGACACTTCTGGAAACTCTACTGTAAGTATTTCAAAAGTCGTAACATTTTGCGGGTAACACGTCAACTTTGTGTACATAATTGTGTATATTTGTTTATTATTTGGACTGTATACGAGGATAAAATCAAATAGAATAAGTCAAAATCATTACTTTTCGGACTTCGAAAACGAAAAAACCGCCTGTTATTGATTCAATGCACACCTATTATACATATTGGCTTTTCCATTTTTTTTCACAAATAATAGAATTTAAAATTTGAAAACTCTCATATTTTGATAGTTAAAACAATAAACAACCACATAGGATATTTTTCTTTTTTTACATAACATTGTCAAACAACCGTGAAATGGAACATTTGACTTATTGGCATGCACGCGTCTTATTGTATGCTACCTTGAGTCCTTGAGTACCTCCCATCAAGCCGTAAGTGTTGTATGTTACACATCAGAATCTCGTAATATTATCTTTGGTAAATTTTAATTTTAAATAGGCATAGATTTATACATTTAAACTTTTCTAATTTATACTACACAAGTGTCACAGAATATTGGACGCCAATATTGCAATAGACAACAATGGTGGCGGTCAGTTCAATTGCATACATTATTAGTAAAATGTCAGACATTTTCTGAAATAAGATAAGAACAGTACATACATGTTATATGAGCTACTTCGGAAAATAGAAATTATAATACAATTCTATAATTATGAATACATAATCAGCAATAAATAAGTACGCTATATAATTAATTAGCTAATTCAAAAAAATTAACTCGTTGGTACCTACAAAGACGTACTTGGAATACATTTCAGGGGGTGGTTCAAAAATTAAAACTGAATCTACTTTGTGCCATATCTAATAATTATTTAGATACCTGAGTAAGTTCTTTTTAGGATACATTTTTGATATTAATTGATTTCTATTTTTCTTCTTATGGGTTTAAATTTACTACAAAACAAAGATATCAAAAAAAAAGTATTTATAGCAGATAGCGTTTCATAATTTTAATTAAATATTTAGAAAATAAATGTCTTTTTGCTCAATTTTTAGAGCATACTTTTTTCACGCATATTTGAACTGTTTAGTGAAATTTATTTATGCATATTTGAGATTGTTTAGTGATCATTTGGTTAGTTTTTAATGCATACAAGTCAGAGTTCTAGTTATAACTAATGTTCATACTTGCCCGAAATGTTATCTTTATATAGATCGAAATACTCCAAATAATATTCTGCTTTGGAATATAAAACTAAAAATGTTTGGTGTTATTCAAAAAAGTAAAAAGCTTAAAATATTATAATTTTGTGTCAGAATGCTGTTTTGAAATGACATCAAATTATATTGAAAGTTAAAACTTTTTAAAATAATGAGTGGAGACACTTAAATAGATCACTTTCCATAGCAGTAGCATACTGCATACAATTATGCATATTAAATTATTAGGAGCATAATACGTGTAACTCATTTGATATAAAATATATTGCGGCAGGTAATTAATTAGCAAGACGAGTAACTTATTTTACTTTATTAGTGCAGTTGGGTTAGGTATATTCCGATAATTTACACTGTATACATTACTGTATGGTTTTATTTAATTTCAGACGAACCTAGATTTTAAGTTGGCTTACTCAAGAGCGGGAGTATCGTTGAACAGTATAGACCATTTACTTCAAATGATCAAAACCCGTAAGTATATAGATTATGTACTATTCACTTATAATTTTCATACCGTCAAACAGCAGGTAAACTTTACCAACTTAGAAAAAATTTAGAGCAAAAACAGATTTGGTTTTTCATGCCATACCTAGCTGTGAAGTGTTATGACATTTAATAGTTAGTATCAACATTCAAATACTTTTTCCAAAAAAAAGAAAAGGTTGTCTAGTTTTGAGATTTATTTAAAATAAGTACGTTTTATACATGAATATACCTATGATAAAATATCATTAAAAACATTAATTTTTATACTACGATGATCTTTATAAAAGTGGAAAATTAGATTTTATGTAATAATACTGTTCACCTCCCGAAGCCAGGCACCTGCGTCTTGTGTCTAGGGTAATTTGGTTCAGTTTCAAAAATAAAATACAAAGTATGAAGGTCCAATATGAAATAAATTTATTTTTGATTAATTTTACATAAAATAACTGGAATTAAGAACCGGGTTTTTTGCGACTTGGTAAAATTACCGGTCTATGTTCGTTTTTCGTAATTTCCATTTAAATATTATAACTATATTATATACTCTAACTCCTTACTACTAAGTAACCACGTTGTAAGTAGTATTGATGATACTAAACCAAATTAACGTATGATACCATGACACATGTAATAAATTATATATGTACATAAATTCGGTACCTACCTTTATTATTTTTTAAATACATTTAAATGGCACTCTTGTTTACATCAATGAAATTCAAAGGACCAGCAACTTATAACCAAATGAAAGTGTTGTGCAGGGATTTTTGTATTTATGTATGCCATTAAACCCGTATAATATACCCAAACTCCAAAGCAATATAATGCAGTAATCTGAGTAATTAGATATAGGTACTGGTTTTATTATAGGTACCTATATAAGATATGGTTTCTACTGTACAATACCGTATAGTACCTTATTAATTATTTAAAAATACATAATATGTATAACATTCTTTTTGAAAACCGCATGAACCGGTATCTATGGTATGTGGTATTTACTTACAATGTCCATAATGTATAACAGAAAATAAAATTGTAATTTTTGTATTATGTTGGATGTAGGTAATACAATACAATATTACTTAATATATTAATATATTGTGTTCGACACTTCTGTGGATTTATCATTATTATTAACTGCACGCGGTATGAAAGTCGTGGTATTAATTATATTATATCGTTGTGATTTCGCAGATAAATTTCAACATTACAATTTAGGACGTAATAAAAATTTGGAAAAATACGGTCAACCCGAACCACCGGAATACGATCTACGAAAAGTCACGTCACCCGTTGTATTATACTACAGCAAAAACGACAAGGTCGTAGACAGTGGTGTAAGTCGGTTATCAGCTTATATCTATCTTATATTTATATCTTTTAAATGCCATAACTTTATGACGACCAGCTCAACGTCAAATTTGATGAACATAATGAATGAATTACATATTATGTACATTATTATTATAAAACGGTATAACTAATACCGTCATAGTCGCTGTTTTTCTGGTGAAGACCAGTGCTACTATTCTGTTCTTAAATTGGATTAGGATGAGATAGGGGAATATGGAATTGGAAAAAAATAGACAAATGTGTAAGATCTTGCGGCGTGGTACCTATTTGGCTATATCAAAAGTGTAGAAAATCAGTACAAGACAATTATAAAATGTTTAAATAGATTAGTGTCGTTAATTTTGTCTGGAATTACCCTCGGAATTGAAAGATGATGTATAATATTTTTACTATCACCGATGATATTATAACGCCATTTCTTTCAATACCTAGGTACCTACTAACCTAGCATGTTGTGTATCGAACAGTTAAAAAACTCAACGTAACATCTGATTTTCATAGATAGTAAATAATAATCATAACCTCATCGAAAAGTACAATAATATTGCGGTAGAGGAGCTGTGCGAGTGTGACGTTATGAAATATAAATTACGACTCAAGGAACCTAAATAATTACGAGTGACAACCGTGGTGTACCGTTAGTTGCCTATCTGCAAAGATACGCAGGCATAATTTAGACGGTTGCAAATTTAAATTTATTAATTTCATATTATTATTCCAGACCTCTAAGTAGTAGGTACCTATAGAATACACATTTGATTCAGTTATTGAAATCCTTGCTGAACATGATCAAACCTGACACCCGAAAATAATTAATGATACATTATTTTTTTTAAACTATTAAGTGTAAAATTAACTACCTATTTGGGGGATTGGCGGCGGACTGTTTTCAAGGTGTTCAAAATAGGCAATTTTCAAATGCGTTTCCGTGGGCCTTGTAAATGAGTGAGTAGTAAGTGATCATTAGTGTGTGTGACTGTATGTAAAAGAAATAGAAGAGAGCTCTTGGTCAAGTCACCGCTTCGGCGTGCGCTAGTGAACGGTAAATCATTTTTGCTTATTGCTAATTGTAACCTTGTAACCTTGCTAATTGTATGCACTTTTTGACCATCCAACCGATCAACCTGTATAATAATGCGATAAGATTTCAGAAAACTGATCTTAATTGAGGAGAGTTGTGGGGAGGGGGACGGTTGAAACTGGGAAAAGTGTACTGGCCGATCTCAAGTCGACACATTAACAAATTCAAATTAATTTTAAAAAGTTAACTGTCCACCACCAATCCCCTAAAGACTAATTGTTTTATGTTATTCTGTTTTTAGACTATACACAAGCTGATCTCGGTTCTGCCAAATGTCTACCAAAATATAATAATTCCTCATGATAAATTTGGCCATGTAGATTATGCATTTAATTCAAATGCTAAAACATTAGTATTTGATTCGGTTATTAATATCGCAAGACAATTTAGAATCGCACCAAGACATCAGCAGTACCATTATTATTATTAATTATTATAACTGACAATATTTTATTGTAAATATGTAACTATTTTATTATTTTTGTACAATCATTGTTTTTATTGAATTATACCAAAGTTAAATTATAGTAGGTACATTATTTTATTTTAGTAACATTATAAATTATGATTGGATTTATAATACAACAAAGTATTGACACAATCTTTCTTTACATGATTACAGTTGAGTTGTTAGTATTATAAATTATAATATCATGTATATTATATTTAAAATTTTTTAAATAATATTTTAGTTACTTGTATGTTAAATACATATTTTTGAACATACAGGAATAGCTTGCTTGTTGTAATATTGTAAATAATTATAGCAACATATCATAATTTATGTTCAAATATTACATTTTTTGGACATAAGTAGTATGAATTCTGTATTATCAATAATTTCATCAATAGGTGTACTTAATAATAATTTTTATACAAAATACTATCATACAAAAGTATTTGCAAATATAAACAATACATTGATTAAAGTAATAAAAAATGTTTAATGGATAAATAATGTTATTTATAGAGAAAATCTTAATTTTAATAATTTCTTATTTTTTCAAAAAAATTTTTATTTTACTAATATACAATATTATGATATATTAGTTGTTTTAATGAAATAAATTATGAAACAATAACTCAAAAATACCTAAGATTCAATGAATGAGTAAAATATTTAAAACTAAACCTAAATTTTACTTTGACAAACTAAACATTCTTGAATTATATTTTGAAATGTATGTATACCAGCAAACATGCTATATATTTATGGCCCAGTAACATACGTTTTACTTGTATATGACATAATAAGACAATTAAAAAGATTTCTTAAAATGTTACTAACATTTCTCCATCATTGACTTCCTCGAGTCTTTCTCTGCCTGGCACTAAGTAGTCTTTAATAGAAGTTATGGCGCTTACAGTTAATCCATAGAATAATCTCGGTGTTAGAGACAAATTCTCATCAGCCATATAACTCCATCCCAAATGGTTGTGACAGTTTGGGCATAAAATTATTGTCCATTTATACCTGCAGAAAAATCAGTTATTACAGTAATGACTAATGAGTAATGGCTTATAACAAAAATAATGTTTTAATATACCCAGGGAACCAGCAGCATTCAGTTGATGGACTTCCTACTGATATCACATCTAAATCATCATCTAGTTGAGTTACTGTAATCATGTCATGGATTTTCCCCCAAGAGTTACAATAAGTACCCTGTGGTCCTTCAGGAGACATCGGAAACACACTGCTCATATTGCACACTGGAGCACTACACCCAGATCGAGCACACATGAATTTTTGCATTGATTGCTATAATGAAAAAGTGATAAGGCATTGTAGTTACTATAATTCCTTTACATTACTTACAATTTTATTCCAATACTGTAGTTCATATTGAAGTCGTAGGTTTGTTGACTCAATACCAAGCAACTCGCTTACTTGTTCTTGACTAAATATACCAAGTCTCATCACTTGAAATGATAACAAATTTGGGTCATCTGAGATTTTAACATCTTTATCTTTAAAATAAAATAAAACACAAAAATACTTGAATATCAGTTGTAAATTTTTACAAACATTTTTTGTATGGTACATGCAAGCCTCAATGTAATTTACATGCAATCAATATTGTGTGCTTTTTAAATACAATTGAAGGATTATTTAAAAATTTTAAATCGAATATAAGTGTTACAATACTGTACTTATTATAATTTATAATATGCATCATAAAATATTAAAAAATAATTCAATAATTAAGCCTTACATAACATTTTAACTTTTTTGGAAAGGCGAGATGCCAATTCATAGACATCAAACTGTTTATAAACCCAATCTGGCCACTGAGTTTGCCACATGTCTCTTTTACGACACCTTACAAAAACATAATATTAAATATTAATATGTTAATTTTAAATTGTTCATATTTTATAAAATATTGTACAAATTTATTTACATTTCACCATGGCTCATATTTCGTTTCTTTGGATGTAAGCACAATTTATTATATGGATGAGTTAATGTAATATCTGGTATGATTTTGATTGTAGCCAAAGCAAGTGATTGTTCATGACTAGAAAAAAAAAAGATAAATTATCATTAAACTAAATAATTTCATTGAAATAAAAATAAACTCTTTCACACTAGTAAACTGATTTCTATAGTGATATTATGTGCAAAAGTCATTTTTAGTCTCTGTCCCCTATTTTTGTTTTCAAAACCAAAGTATTGATATATATTTAAATAATAAAAAAAAAAAATATTATTTGTTAATAATTAATTAAAAATTAACAATCTCAAAGTCTCAATTGTCTATTTTTAAGTATATTAATGTCGGTATTTACATGTTTCACAACTATAACATTTCAGACTGGATTGTGTACTAAACTACAAACAATATTCTTTAGCTGTAAAGAATAATAGCTTTAGTTCAACTGTAATGGTTGCCATTGACTGGTAACATAATTTAGGAATTACTAAGCTGAGTAAATAATATTTATTATCATATCTATTACACTATTTGAATATTTCCATTAAAATATATTATGTCTACATAAATATATTTTATAACACCTTAACTGTGGGCTGTAAACACTTTACATAATATATGCAAATGCAATTAAGTTTTTTTTAATAATTAATAATTATTAATTACCTTTCAGGAAATTGATTGACTTGTATAATTTCAAATCGCTGATGGCCCATAGCTTTAATTTGAAATGACTGAGAAGTTTCTATTTCTACAGAATGTTCATAAACCTCAGCAATTGTTCCAAATGTCCGCTTATTTTCATTACTAATAAAAAATTATAATTTTATATCATAATTTATAAGTGAATAACTAATTATATATTATGTTTTACAGTTTGTAGCAAACTCCAAATGAACGATTACGGAATATGGCATATTTTAATACAAGTTTAACATCTGAAGAACGAGCTATAATAGGCAGAATTTGTCCAGGCATCAAATTTAACTTTAAAAAAATAAGTGGTATTGAATGAAAAACGCCTTCTTCATATATTGTGCGTCCAGTAGCTTCACGAAGTCCATCTCCCAAATACTAAAAGAACACATGATTAATTATAAAACTATTCAACTGCACATTTTTACAAAGTATTATACAACACTATAGTTTTAGAAATGTGTGAAATTAAATTAATTGTTTATTACAATACTAAAATATATATTAACTTCACCATTTCCATACATTTACACCATAGGTAACTTTCTTACATTAACACGTTCAGAATATCATATTGGAGGTTACTTGTCTCTACACTGGAAAAATTGGGGTTTAAAAAAAAAAAAAAATAGTAATAAATCAATAGATTATTAGGAGTTTGGACTGCATATAAAATCTCTGAAAATAATGAAACAGGATGAAGTATTTTAGAATGTATATTTCATAATATAAGACACAAGCCATATACAATATCAATACGAAAAATAAATATGTTCTACACAATTTCCAGAACTATACAGTCTGTATGAATAAACTTGTGCCATCTTAAGATGATGATTGGCGTCATTCGGTTTAAAGTTTGTTTGTGTTGAGTTTATTAACCACTGTTTGATAGATTTTTGTGCTTGTAAATGTATAAATTGTTATTTTTGTAATCAATAAAATCAAGTTTTTTATAAGATAATTTGTTTTTAAAAAATGCTTAGTTTTTAATGATAGACAATGAAAGTTATATCACCTTATGTGCTGCAGTTAAACTTCGGTCATAGTGTGTTTCTATTTGAAGTTCTGGGGCTATATGTAATTAGAATATGGATAAATTTATATTTTCAAAAATATAAGAACAAATTTATTTTATACTTACGGATAATAACATCCCTTCTATCTTGATTAGGTCCTTGATGAAATTCACTTGAATATGTTTGCCTGTTAGGACTAGAATAAAGATTTGAATGAAATGCAATGCAATTATATATTAATTTTTGTGGTTATAAAAAATGTTTCTTTTAAATTTATAATAAAATAATATTTTTAGCATGCATTTAAACAGAGATTTAAAATATCATAATTTATTCAATTAGATTAGTAAAGAGATTAGAAAGTTAAACCTTAATAAAGGGACTCCCTTAACAATAACTCCGTAAGTTCTGTGAAATAGTTCTAGACATGACTATGCTCAATGCCTATAGTTTTTACATGAACATAGTGGAGAGACAAACCTATAATAACCCATGAGCAACCTAAAATTGACACACTACCAACCCACCGATAATTTATAATAAACACAAGTACTATTAGTATTACTATTTACTTTAATTACCTATTATTTAATAATTATTTTCCTCTTTTATATTGAGCAACCACCCACCCAACATTAAATATTAAAAAAAACAAGAAGCAACTGCTTCTCAAAGGTTACATTTGTTTTACCGCTGAATAAACCAATATTGATTATATATGTTATATGTAGCCAATTTGTTAAACTTGAAATTGGAAGGAGTTAGTATTGGAAGTTATCCTTTATTTATTTAGCTATACAGAAATACTTTATCAGGATTTAATTAAAACTAATAAATCATAAATAAATTGATAATATTACATTTTAATTGTTCATTTATACAGTGTACAATTATGTTTAGAATCAAGTTTAAATTACAAAATTAAAGTTTATATAAATTGTAAAAGCTGATAACTGTACTTATAAAGTTGAGTAGCCAGAAAAAATATTCATAATACATGTATTAATTTTTTTCTATGCATTTTCTTCCACATTTTCCCAAAACAAAATTTAAAAATAAAATATTTACAATTATAAAAATGTTGTAGTCTTTAGAACGCTCTCACCAGTTGCCACTAAATAGGCATTCAGGAGGAGAGTAATTCCACTTTCTAAGTAAAAGATACACAGAGTTTTCAGCTCGGATGATTTGCAATCCTCAGTAGAAAGAATTTTGTAAGCAACCCATTAAAAGCAGTCTTACAACAGAAAAGTTGACCACTCGACCCATAACTATAAATATTAAATACACACTCACTCATCATTATTATCGGAGTTCAAGTCGATGCCATAGATGTTTGGGGTGTTCTGAAAGTTCATATTGGCAATGTTCGCTTGTTCTCTAACAACAAACAGAAATTACAGCCAGCATCCGATTAATTAAAACGCCAACGTGTATCTATTGAATATCCCTCGTTGTATAAATAATAATATAATATTATCGTAGTCGTCCTAACATCGTTAACGAGAATATCATATATATTAATTAATTAATTAATTTAACAACTATCAACATAAACAAGAACATAAATACAAAATATAATAATATTATTGATATTTTACAGCTGCTGATAAATACTTACAATACGATAAAAAATGAGTATGATAATATTATCATTGAATATTAACAACAATAAAGAATACCAAAGATTGTTACAAATACATTCAAGATTTTCAAGGAAGATACGTATCGGGTCAATTTTGAGCCTCTAAGAAGTCACTAGTGCAATTATAGAACAAAAGTGTTCTATGGTGCAATATACAAACGATACCTTCCGTACGTATTGAATTTTTCTTTTTGAAAATCTTGAATATCAATTACAATACTATTTACAGTATGTGATAATATTTTCACGGCTGCGCACATGGGCACATTCGTCGTACTCAGATAATAATATAATATATAGTTTCATATCAGCTGTATGTTCATGTCGCTGGCTGCCGCGATTTGTTATATGTTATGTCGCATCAATTTAGTGAAATCGCACATTTTATGAAGTGGACATCCACTTCATGAAATGTATTCATTTAGTGAAAATGACGTTTTACTACACTAAATGGACAATTCTTTCACCTTAAAATGAAGCGGTTGAAATTTATTTTTTCCTCATTGTGTAATATTATTATGATAGTTGCTTGATAGAATATTATATAATAATAATAATAATAATAATAATAATAATCTTTTTTCCTTAAAATATATTGAAATATGAAAATTAAATTATACATTTTCTTAAACTTTATTTTATATTTTATTATTTATTTGGACATGGTTGTACAATGCACAAATTACAAATTATATCAATTAACTTTTATCTATATTCAATACACGATTACCGATAGAATACTCATAATTTCATAAAAACTTATACTTTATTCCTTTTAAGAAAGACCACTTTCACGCATACCACGATTAATAATAATTGTCCATCTTGCTCCTTTATCAATGCTGTTGTTTTCATAGTTCTTGTCTAATAATATAAGGTTTATGATTTCATTTTAAAAATTTTTTAAAAATTTTTTACACATAAAATAATAGTATGGAAATAACTGGACAAAATTCTAAAAACGGGATAAACATCGTTCCAAAACATGATGACTAAAAAAGGGACAATCCCGTTTTATTTCTGGAATGTCCCTACTGCAAGCTGGATTGATGGGTTTTCAAGTTAATTCATCTGTGGTAATACCCATAGACCTTATATTACTCAACCGCGAATCATGGTCACGAAGTAAGAATATGTATAAATAAACTCAATGTTTATAATACAGTTAACTACGGTTATACCGTTGGGTTATAATATGGTATATGGTAAAATGGTATTCTGTGGTTATCCTGCAGTCCAGGTATAACTGATAACTATTTGTACATTTTGAATTATTTAATAAACACTAAATTGTATTTTAGAGTTAAGTAGTCAACATTTAATTAGTTAAACTCGAAACCGTTATTGTTGCAAACCTGTTTATTGTTAATTGGCGATTATCGTTGCTTACATACGCCGATTTCGAAGGACCGTTAGAACGACAGGAATTGAGCCGGTGCTCCTCAGTCGGCTCCTACAACTACCTACATATTATAGTAATAATAAAGGACAATAGTTATTTTTCGAGATGGACATACTTTAGTATTGTAGGTATTATACTTACAATATTTTAATATTGTTTATACATCTCGATTTTAAATAGGTAGTAGGTACTACGTAATATAATTATGTGTACAAATATAATATAATTTTAGATCTTTGACCGGATCAGATGGTTCGTGTGTGGCGGACGACGATGGATACGAATGATACGACAGTTTTTCGAGGACTCGGTAACAGCTGTTATAAACCGATAGCAATGATCGCTGTGATCGCTGGCATTTATGTTTCAATCGTGTCCATCTTGCGTTTCAGCCGTTTCCTCGCCGGTTTGAACACTGCGCTGCCGTCCGATAATGATTTACTACAATCTCGTAAGTAGTCGTAAGTCGCGAATCAGCGTTGTTGCTGTTGCTGTGTGTTATGAATCTGAAATATTTGAAATTGTTATCAAATTATCAATTATGCTCTCAAAGAAAATATAGTCGGAAATTAGAGAAGCATTATTATGGAGAATTATTGACAATAATAATTATCTATAGTTCCACTTAATAAATTAAAATAAGTGAAAAGTTTTTGAATTAAATAGTTAGAAAACAAAAAGAAACATTTAAAATAGTCACTAAGTTATAGTCTATACCCATTTAATTCAATTATAAAATATTAGCTCTCCTGATATTAAAATCAATTTTGATCTATGATTACTTTTTTTTTTAATGGCATTGCCGATGAACTCATTATAAACTCTTTGAATTTTAAACAGCAACGTATATTTTTTAATTTCGTAATCTGAAGTAGGATTTAAGTAGGTATGGCTAGTATACGTTAATGTAAGGATTTGAGATTTTTAGTAATTTGATCAGTACCTACCTAGTCTTTCCCTGATTAGATATTGTATTTTACACAGTACCTAGGTAATATGGTATTTAATAGAAAACGTACAAATTAACACAATAGTGTTTGGTTGTAAGTAACTAACTAATTATACTAAATGACAATATTATTATAGTTACTGTAATAAATAATAATTTACCTATAGGCTATACGTAAATATCTATACCTATAGGTTATTGGTGGATATTCAATTGTAATAGATAAGTATTTCAATATTTTGAACGTGCTTCAAAAATCGCAAAATTTTTATATTTTATTTATTATCAGTAGTACACTTCTACATTCAAACATTTAGTAGTGAAGCCTGAAGGAGAGTTGATCTACCTATTATAAAAAAAAAATAGACAATGCATTCACTGTGGCAGTAAGGCACTGCGGTACTATCACTACGAAAAGTATCTACCACAAAAACCACACTTGGTGTAAGCAGTAAAGTAGGGGTATAAATAATTTGTATTTTTAAGTTACACAATTCAATCGATTGAAAATATAAAAATGAATTTTTAAAATAATGTTACTGAGAAATTTCTTTTGTTATTATACTTAATAATAAGTAGGTAAGGTTACGCATATTATAATTCATAGCACGTAGCATAATAAAATGGAAACAGCGAACTAAAATAATTAGGTAATGGATTTCATCGGTTAATCAAATTTAAGAAATTACAAGTTCATCATTTTAATACTTCATATACCTATTTATAATTATGATTCAAGTAAATGTGAATTATTTACGACACTGCATTTTGGTAATGTTTTTATCACGAAAGGATCATAATTCATGATATATTGATGTAATGCCACAGATATATAGTATAATAACTAGATAACCGACTACTGGATAATATTGGAGTCGGTAAGGGCGAAATTGCTAGAGTGATAATATACATATATTCATTATATTTGTAATAAACATATCATATAAATATGTGTAGGTATCTTATCTATTGAGTTATTTTGTAAACATTGCTCAAGTGACAAATGGCGTTGGGCATCATAATTCAATAACGTTGTTGTATATGGAGTCGGCTGTTATTCTAATTATTATATATTATATATATCTGTGTGTAATGTTCAAGATGTTATTGTAGTTTTATTTATTTTTTCGATCTTGGGTATTTTATAATATAATATATTATGTTATACCTCAGAATAGATTAAATATCACTAATACGAGACACGACGTGTATGGCGTACGTAAATATTATTACTCTTTTAAAACTATTTATAGCCATGACAATTTTTCAATTTTTATTATTTTTTTGTAATTATTGTTGATAAAAAAATTTATGCTCAGTCAAAAATCTTGAAAATGTAATTTAAGGTTTCTCATAAATTTTTATGACAGCAATTAAATAATATCAATCATACATAGAATTGATTTCTTTTATAAGTACTTATTTAAAATTCAAAGTTTGATATAATTCTTTGAAACGTCGAAAATTTGCAAATTACTTCATATATAGTTAAAAATGTATAATATAATCAATTTTTATAGTTAAGGATTGAAAATATAAAATGAGATTTTTTGGGGGGGATGAAATTGTGAGGGATGAGATGGTAGGGGGTTACTGTAGAACTGGTGGGGTTTGGTACCGTAGGTTTTATTAACTCGTAGATGTTCGTATTTGGCAAAATTTCAATTGGGCACCCTTAAGTTTTTGCCATGCCTGGTCGGCGGATGGCAGCCTCTCTCCAGGCAGATATCTGCCCGGAGAGAAGTACTGACCTTAACCTAGGTTTCTCGACGCATCAGTCGGCTTGGTCACTGTCCATCAATAAGATTTTCATAAGTTGTTAATTCTGTAAGCGAAAATTCTAAAAAAATATATTATAAACACAATTTTTTTTACATATTTTAAGTTCAAATTAGAACGAAATTTGATATTTAAACCTGCAAGAATAACAATTTTAGTTATTTTGTTGTAATTTAAAAGTATTATTCGTGGGTAGGTGCTTGAAACTTTTAATGTGTGTTATTACATTTAATACACACAATGACGTTTTAAAATGCAATTTTTTCTGTCTCATAGTAAAATAATTAGCAATAAAATCAAAAAATATATTTAGTAATATAGGCTGACAGATAGTCTTAACTCAGAATTATTTATCCCATATACTATTTAATTATTTATCACTTTATCTTACATGAATAATCAAACAGAAGTTGGTATCTCTTTTTTTAGAATTCCACAATCTATGTTAGAAATTGACTTTCAATGATTTGTAAATAGCCGACCATCTTAATTTAAGATACTATAAAAAATAATAAACAGCTCAAAACAAGTCAAAATGTTTTATCAAGTATATGAATTGTTATTATAAATATATGGTGTAAATTTCAAATATCTGTAGTTATTCGTTTTTGAATTACAACAAAATAAGAAAATCGCTATAATATGAGAAATGAAGTGAATATTCAATGTAAAAATTTCAACTCTAAACGCTCATAAAAATTTAATTTGACTTTCCGCTAGAATTTTTGTTTTGATTAAGGTTGACAAACTTATAAGGAATCTTGTATTCAATTTTAAAGTCGTAGATATAAAAAGAACAATTTTCATGAATTTCTAACTCAAAATAATTTTCAAATTTTCATGATTTTTACGAATTTTGTCAAAATTATGAATTCAAACGCTCATAAAAATGTATTGTGGATTTACACTCAATTTTTTTTTTAATTTCCACTAATAAAAACTTATGAGGAACCTTGTATTACATTTTCAAGTTTTTGACCAAGCATACATTTTTTTATCGTCATTAGTCAGCCACACATATAAACCTGTTCCAACTAACCGTTTCCTTCTATACCTTGGTAGCTGAAGCCTGAATTCTAATAAAAAATATAATTTTAAATTAAAGTATAAAGTTTTATACCGTGTTGAAATATTATATGTACACTCATAAACTAATTTTATGCGAATTGGGGGTCTACCTACCTATAGGAACTGTTTATTTAATACGTGTCATGTGTATTATAATAATCATAATAAATAATAAAACTTCTGTAGTAGGTGTTTAAATAGTGTTTTACTTCGTTTACATTTAAGTGTTTAATTTTTTTCGATAGTAAGCTGAGAGATGAATGTATTGGTTTTACAATGATATGTTTTTTTCCAGTGTCTGAAGGCACTACTTCTATTAGAAAAAATGCACTGATCTTTAACTTTGAGGGAAGTTTCTAGTAGAAAACTATTAATTATTTTTACACTTAGGGATGTCAGAGTAGACGTTTCCTAGCAGGTACCTACTTTAGATGCCTGTTGCCAATGTAGTTTTGCCCACAATAATATGCTCTATATGAATAAATAATCTATTTTGTAAAATCAACCAATTTGATATTTTAAATTTTACGTGTTCAAAATTAATACAATTTTAAGATATTTTCTACAAACTATATTATATCGATATTTTAAATAAAAGATTATGCGTTTTGATATACCATAATTTGTTTCGCTTATCTTAAATATTATGATAATGGTGTACCTATGCTTAATATAATATATTGTATAACAATTTGTAATTCTTTTATACCAACTAATTATTATAGTACCTACATTTTGTATATTTATATTTGAATGTAGATATATTATGTCTAACTAAATTTTAATAATCCAATTGTTTTAGGTATTTATTTCAGGATAATTTTGAATTGGACACTTGCATCATGTTATTTATATTTACCTTCGATAGTTGGGGTTTTAATTGAGCGGATTGGTAACTTATGTGGATTGCCTGATTGTTATTTCAAATTTACTAAAATTGTCTTACTTTCATCTATTTTAAACGTAATAACTAATGAATAATTAACGATAAACATTTTTTTTGTGCAATAACTCTGTATCGTGTAATTAAATATAAATATTTATTTTTAAGGGAGTGATTGACTTTTGGCAGGAAGTTCCTGAGATATATTTGTGGAATCTAAACATATATTATGCTGAAATTATACTCTTTTATTTGCATTGCTCCATGTGGATTATATCATTTATGATTGTGTTAGCAATTGATATTACTGAGATAACAGGACTCAAACCGGTAAAGTAAATTATTTAATTTATATTATAATTAAATTAAATACCTAGGACAGATAGGTTGATTTAAGTTTCTCATTTGAAAATTATTTGAATAAACACTTTTTTTAAAATAATTTTTAACATATTTAAAAATTACGTTGTTATTTATTTTGTACATTTTTCACGACGTTCACGTTGCCATGTTTCTCGTTGTCCTCGTGCCTGTTCATTCCTATACTTTATTCTTTTATAAACTTTAAAACATCTATTCAACTTTTAAAATATTTCTATCAACACATTATATTTTTAAAAAATGTAGGTACGACCCAGAGTTTAAGTTGTTCGAAGAATGAACAAACATTGGTTAGTAGGTAATACAATTTGTTTTGTATTTTTTTGATTCAGAATGATATCTCTTTTATTAGCTTCTGTAAATTTTTTGGTTAAAATAAAGGTATCTTTCATAATTTTAAGTACCTACTACTATTATTTATTTATTTACATAACATTATAATATAACACCTATAATTATTATAATTTTCTAATATAGATTTTTAAGTGTTTTAAAATTTGTTAAGGCCAATATTTGTAATAGCATTATCTTAAGTAAATTATGTATGCATAAAATATGATGTTGTGTAAATATTAAGTAATGAAGAAATTGTATTTAATTTAATTTTAAGTTCTATATAGTAAATAATCCACAGATCTACTTTTTTTTATTGAATTACGTTTCATACCTATTTTAGGAAATGTATTTTTCATGATAGGTATTATGCACATTTTTAAACATTTACATAAAAATCAGATTTTTGAAAAATATTATTGTGATTTAGGGCTTGCTTTAATTTAATTCAAGTGTTTTTATTATTTGTACTAAGTTTTAATTGAAATTAATATGATACTATTTAGGCACACTTTACATAATTGGTATGTAGGCTTTTGTATAGTGTAATTATAACTGCATTTTTAGAACGTGCACGTATTCTAATGTTTTTTTATGTATAAGTGCACGTTTGGATAAATTATAATTATAGAAGTTTTAGAGATAGTATCAATTAACATAATTGTAAGTAATATAAACTTTTTGTTTTTCTTATGAATTATTTAACTTAAGGTAGTAAAGAAAATGGGTGGAAATATACAAGAATTACACGTCTTAATTTGATATTGTTTAAAAAATTGCAATATTCAGGCTAGAGAATTATCTTAATTTAATTTTTTTATTCATTAACTATTTATTTTTATGTCATTAAATTTGGATAGTATGCAAATAGTAATTGGGTTATATTGAATGGGAAATTGAATTAAAGATTTGTTATAAATTACGAGTAACTATGTATAAGTTAAACTACGATTTTTACACCATAATTCGTTTAGAAAATTTGATTACAGTAATTAAAACTATTCTTAAGTTAAAAAAAAGTTACAGAAACCAACAGTTCATGAATTAAATGTTGTTTTTATAATTATTTTTATGATATGGCGTGTAGGTACCTACTGTAAAAGATAGCATTATAGATAGCTGGTGAATGCTGTAAATGAGAGATATTGCCCAGATACCGATTCGCTTAGGTTCATCGTTGACGTGTTCTACTGAAGCGTGTCAGTTAGTACTTAGTACCTACCTATTATACTTTAATATAATTAAATTAGAATACTGCAGTACTGTAGTTGTACATCGCTTTTGATGCTATTTTAGACATTAAATGTAGGTACCTACTTATCATTTTATGTTCATTAAATATTTAAAATATTGACATGAAATATTTCATAAGTTAACATCCTAGTACCTACATTGTCATTTGTTAATATCTTAAAATCTCATGATTTTCTGAATTGGTATTTAGTTTGAGTATGAAACAATTCTTATAGTACCTTTATAATATTTTGAAAATTTAATATGAGTTTCCAAATTAATATACATAATATATAATATATATTAACTTTATAGTACCTACGCTTATAAAATATTAAAATACATTTTAAATTTGAGTTTTAAACTTTTACGGTATAGGTATCTAGTTAATTTTTAAATAAATAACAGATCATTTAAAGAATTTATAATATTTATTATAATAAGGGGTTTTTACGATTTTCCCAAAGTTAAAATATTAATAGTTTAAAAAGTTAAAAATAAGTGTTGAAACTTTTTTAATTAGTCTAAAACTACTTTTCAAATTATTTAAAATTTGTTAATATTTATTTAATGAAAAAAAACGGAGGTATGTGCCTAGTACGTACTACCTACTGTATTCCACTTGGAAACCATCTAAACTGGGTTCTGGAGATGTACCTCTTTGTGTTTTGGGGTTACATAATCACATACATCTTCTCTTAAGGTATTTGACTGTTGTTTATTTAAATTTAAATAAGTTATTCTATCAAAAGACAATTTTTTTCTTAATATAATAATACCTATATACATACAAACTACAAAGTAAACTTAAATGAAATGTACAGTAAAATATTTAGTACAGAATTTTCAACTTAAATAGTTTTGTAATTAGTAAATTTTCTACAGATTTTTTATTATTATTTGGTTAATGAAAATTATTGTTCATTGAAATCTCGACAATTTGATCGATTTTTGTCAAATATGGGATTCCCAGGATCCTCATGTCTCTTAATTATGTTATGGTCTCCAAAATTAATGAGGTATGTTAAGTTGTATAATATGGATTTAGGTACTACCTACATTATATTTTGGATTACATAATAATTATTAATTAATATTTCGTTACAGTTTTGATAGATTGTTATTGGCTGTAATTTGGACTATAGGGATATTATCATATAGTCGGACAGACGATAAAGATATAAAATACGTTGCCAAACAAATCGAGAAAAAAAAAGCTTGGATGTATTATTCAGAGAGGATAACAGTTTCACCGTTGAGATAAACCGTATTGTTAATTAGATAATATTTACCATCCAATAATATCTACTATTAAATTTTTAGGTCTTATACATATATTATGTTTTCAGTATTGGGTTTTATTCCCAAAATACATTGTAATTTGTAGGCTTAAAAAAACGAATAGACGCTAATAGTCTTCGTTTAAAATGTTTTATTCTATGTTGCTGAATTCATATTATTGTTGGTAGGAAATACTGTAATTTAATTTATTTCAGAATAGTATATTATACATATTTTTAAATTGCATATAATTAATTGTCTAATGTATCTTTGTAATATTATTTCTTTTGTAATAATTAAAATATAAAAATAATCGACTACCACTTTGATCATGGTTATCTTTCAGTGTTATTAATATTTTTCTGTCGATCTATAACAATACCTAATAATATTTCATTACTCTTCTTCTACCATTCTTGCTGACGTATTTAAAACAGTGTTCCTCGAAAACACTTATATATGACGGGAGGGGAGGGGGGGGTAGGGTTACTGGACTGTGTTTCTTATATGGATTTGACGATGTCAGTTACTGTTTGTGCGGTGACGACTGACGATCATAAGCATAGACGTGGTAGAGTTTCAAGCCAGGATCAGCGAACATTTTTGCATACAAACAGCCTATAGATAGATACATGATCTAGGGGACGGTGATAAATGGTAATGAAATTAATACTAAAGTGTACCTACGGCATTGTTATGATGGGACACGGAAAACACTAATATACTGTGGTGTGTGTTAAACATAGACCTATTTAAATAAACACAGAAAAGATCAGCTTCGTAATTCAATACAGTTTTTGGATAACTACCTTATTTTTATTGAATATTATACGATGGCCCAGTTTGGACAACTGAATTTGTTTGGTCCATGTTGTCTTGCCACAGCCGAGTTTGTGTTGCGTCAATCGATTGGGTAAAGTATCAAAGTATCAATCGGCACGAATTTCTATTTTCCAGTTGTAACTTGTAATATTATATTATATTATGCAAAGCTTGTTAAATTATCCTGAAGTTGTCCATGTATATTGAAGGCATGTTAAACGGCTCGAGAGAAACGTGGTTTACTATCTGTTTTCTGGCTTGGGGTGATTCTTGTAAGTAAGTTGTAGGAATGGTTTTCGGTATTTCTTTTTTTATCTTTTTCGATTTCCGCGCCATTAGAATTATCACCAATGAACATAAGAAGAGAGTACACCACCAAAAATTATTCTATCATCTATCTTCTGCAGTTTGTATTCTGAGTACATATTTATATGCTTTTACACATTTGCAGGAATTTAAAAATATATTTCTTTAACATTTTAAGGGGCCTTCGGGTGTTTGGTATCCTCTGTGCCATAATAATGTAGTTGCGCGTATATGGAAACTACCTGTTGATCACCATGGTCTTTACGAATACAAATCGTTGTGGAAACTCGATGTGTCTTATTTAAAAAATATCAAATTTTCCTGTTCATGTCAGAAAAATAATTTAAACGTACATTTTTCGTGTAGAACAAACAGATTATATGATATGTATATAATGTATAATATATGATTACCAAGTTACACTCATACAAGTATTCTACTGTGTATATAATACACGGATATTGGTGTATATTATATTAATATATACTGTTTCAGGCAAGCGTTATTGCACGCTATTCATAATTGAAGTGTCATAATGGAAATTCGGTAACCCTCGTAATTACAATTAAAGTAATTGTGCACATCCATACATTTATATATACTTGTATGTTACAATGTGCGCATGATTTTGAAATTAATAGATATCACCACGTGAAAAGGGATAATAGCCTGCCTATTCGAACGGATCTCTGCTGACTATTAAAGAGATTTCGTAGGGTCGTCGGCGCATAATGTAGTTTTGATTTTATTTCATGCTCTTTATTCGATTTCATTAAGTCCGACGGCGATTGCTGGATTTTTCAATTTAGTCTTTCAGCTAGGCGGCGACCTTTAATAATATGGCGACTTCGGTCGGCGTGACCGGAAATGAATGTGAATATTTAATAACAACGCGAAGACCAATACTGCAAATGTTGATGAGTTCTTACTTTATTTATAAAAGCTAATTTTTTCAAACGGTATGGGTAATAATGTAATACGAAAGTGACATATTTTTTAATCGTTCTTTGAAAACTTCTTTACACAGCTCAGTTCTACTAGGCGTTACAGAAAGAACTACAGACACATTGTCATAATGTCATATAATAAATAAATTAGGTAACTATGAAAAACATGTATTTTTATTATTTTTTTAAAATATCGATATTTTTTGGTTGTTGTCAAAAATAAATATAAAAATAAATGTAATATTGTTGAGAATAAAATGTATTACATTATAGGTACCTGGTACCTACTTGGTTAATTACATTGTCAGTTCTTCAGTTCTGTATCTATTAGGAAAGTACATCATGTTTGATTTAAAAATACAGTCGAATTTATTTTTATGTTCCTTGAAATTTGAGTTAAAGATGCTGTATACTGTATATCTAGACGAATGCAAGAATTTTAATTTATCAATAAAAATAACTTTTTATTAGGTACATATAAAAAAAGAAATGTTTGATTTTTTACCACGAATTTTTCTGCACACTACATATAAGTTATCGCATCTGCTGATCTTTTAAAAATAAAAAAACTATTTGCGATGTTGCATGATTTTTGCATCTTTCATTTTTCACTGATGCTCGATGTGTCAGTTACGATATAACAAAGTTTGTTTCCATAAAGTTATTTTTATTTGATTTATTTATGAACCACTGCCGCCTGAACCGAAATTCAAATACATATTATAAATCATATATATCTATTGTTTGGGTGTGTAAAAATTATCTTTAAAATATGTTTTGTTAAGTGTTTTTATAATAATTATTATAATCGATGCAAAGTTATTTTATTTTGGTTGAACTTTACGTTCGTTTTGAATTAAATATGGTACAATGTAACAAAAACATCATTCATAAAACTGTGAAATTCTGGATTTAATATTTCATCATTTTTTTTCTACGAGGTCCAATCGTGGTCCATAGTCTGTTTTTTGAAAATCAACATCTGAGTCTCCAGAAAAAAGTTGCAAAAAATAACACACCTCAACGATAGCAAATTTAATATTTGCAATTAGGCAAACACACATTTTGAACCAAATATCGTTATAAATGTTATAATTCAAAGTATATTTTTTCACTTTAAAAAATCGAGTTATAGGTAGGTAAATATTATATATTTTCTATCTTCGTATATCTGAGATTTTCGAATTTCTGCTTGCCAATCCATTAAGGACGCGACACGGACATGTTTTTTTAATTTTTTGGTTTTTAAAAATTGTTTAAAATTTCCAAGATTCACCAAATTTTCCTGATTTGATATTGCAATGCCGATTTGAGCACATTTAGAACATTGTATTTAAAAAATATTTGAATAGCTATAGGATAAGAATGAACATTTTTTTTTTAAAAAAGAGGAAAACTATACAATGTCGTTTTTATTTTAACGATGTAAGAAATTAAAAAATTATAAATAATAATTAATTATTAAGAAAAATGTTACTTATTTGATATTTAATTGTTTTAAAATACTTTGTTTTTATGTTTTTAATCTTATGACTTTTTTCAAATAAGTGATATTATAAAAAAACTACACTGCACACTAGTGAAAGCATTCTACAACCTAGATTGTCCAAATTTTTACGATGGACATTAGTATCTTTAGCTACTTAAATATATTTATATACCTATGCAGTGTTTCAATTGAAGACCTCCCGTGGAGATCGGTGTATGTTACAATATTTTCAAAAACCGTTTTATTACATTAATTGATAAAACTCAGGGTTGACAACACATTGTGCTACGTTATGTATGAATGTACATTATTTTGTATAATTAATGTACATTAAGAACTCCGAAAATTGATTGCAAGAAAGCGTTTATGTATAGATGTTAGACTATTTGGAACCGAAGTACCGCGAATTCTACACACAATTATGTAGTCAACAATAAAAACACGCAAATTTAATAATCATATTATTATATATTAATTTTGTTGTAATTATCTACCATGTACTAAACATGCACATAACTGACTTCAATGGTCTATATACAGTTATTTGTCTCCCCTGAACAATTTCATTTTTGTAACATACACCGATCTCCACGGGAGGTCTTCAATTGTTCTCAAATTGTCATTAAAATATCAAACTCCTTAAAAAGCTGGTGTATGGTGTCAGCTTTGGTATTAGCTTATTTTGTTCCGATACTTTAGCTCTAAACGCGCCCATATGTTATCCACCACAGCATGGCTATCGGTGGTCACTACATTTTTAATCAGAAAAGGGAATGGACTTATGCACCAAGGCCAGTATGACTTCACCCTCCCCCAAATGACGCCCATGTAATGACATACCAATCAATAATTATTATGGTATTTTTTTTTTAAATTTTGTAAAGAAATCTAAAATGTTATTAAGTTATCCAGTATTGAATAATCATAATATTTTATTTTATATTTGAAGAGCAGAGGTTTGGGGAATCAACTCTTATTTGACTCCTTTGTCTATTTTCTATAAAATGTTACGGAGCAAATATAGTTTATTCATTTCCAGAGTTGTTTGTTACAGAGTAAATATTGCTTATTGGTTCACTGAGTTATTTGTTCCGCAGCTAACGATAAGCCATGGAAAAGAAAATGTTCAAGTTTACTCGAAAAATTTAAATTCAAAAGTGTGGCTAAAATATATACCAAGCTTAGCTCAGATAGACACAAACTCTATTTGTACCGGAATAAATAATAAATTCTATTCGCTTTCGAACGAATAACTTCTATTATAGGGAAAAAATACTTTTTATTAGCTCTGAAGTTCTTACAAGGAGGGTCGAGGATTCAATTAGGAGTTACTTCCGAATCCTTTTGTAAAGACCGATTTAAAATTCAAGTATACGCCTCTCGTATATACCCTATGATTTATGAGAAATTAGCACTGTATTATTTTTTACAACACTTTAAACGTACCATATAAAACGCAAAGTATGTGTGTTTGAAATATGGACAAGATGATTCAAATGTTCACATAATTCAGATTTTTTATGTAAATTGAAAAATATCCTGTGGCAATACATAGGTCATACATATTTTTTGTTCAAATGACAACCGCTCTTTTTTATTGTAAATTGTTTAACTTATACTTTCATGAAA